ATCCGGCCGAAGTACTGGCGCTCTGATCACGTGTTTTAAGATCAAAACTTGGCGAGTCCCGGCCGGCGCATGCCTTGAACACGCATGTCCGCACATCTCGGGTAAACAACACAGAGCGGCGTTGTTCTAAAACGTCAACGCCGTTTTGGAACCGTGTAGACGCGTATTACCGTCTGCACTTTGAACACTTACACTACCGTTTTTCACTCACTTCCTTGGTGGTTATTGTCCGACAGACTCGATCGCAAGCGAGCTCTACTATCAACTTCGGTGACTCTCAAATATTGCTATTTGAGCGCCACTTTAAGAACACAAAGTTGCTCGGGTCCCAGGAAATTTTGTGGGTAGGAAATGCCGCAAAACAATTCGGCTCAGAGGAGTGCACTATAATATGGGCATGTGATGTGTAGCATATACAGAACTCACTAAGAGGTGTGCACTTCCATCGGTCGGGTTGTCTTGCGTATCAGGTTTTATTTAAGACGAACCCACTCTCATCTACGTGGCGCAAGAAAGCGCAAAGACTGTAAAAGCCCTGATCACAAGAGTATGTGATAAAGCACTGTGTCTCGAGAAGAGGAGTGCATGCTGTCTCTTGCCGCATATCGAAAAGATAGTTGCACGCTCTAGGGTTTTAGTGCCACGTCGCAGCCGCTGGCAGCGCGAATCACTTACGCACGAATTACATTGCACACACGGCGGGTGGCAAAAAGATGCGTATGCGGCGTCCTGGGGAAGACTCCCGTGGCTGTGGTACGGTCGCTCGGGGTTCCCTGATTGGCTTGTGTGGACTGCCTATGACAATGCTCTGGCGGTTCCCACCAAAATTGTCGACCTACTTGACGGACACTTCAACTTCGCCTCATGCAGGCAGTCAGATCTGATAAGACTCCCTGAGGCCGTGCTCTGTACGCTGAATACATCCCAGGACGCAGTTCGGTCGACAGACCGAATCAGATGATGATATTTAGGGTGGGGTACCCACACCCAGCAATCTCGTCAATAACCTCATTTCCCTTTCACCTTCCGAAACAGAAAGTCCTATAGGGGGATTGATATGCAATTTCATACTCCGACCAAGCTTATTCGGGTCGTCTCCCTTCTCCACAAAGCCATGGAATTCGGCAACGGTCTCGAATGGTTCAACAGCCTTAGTTAGGGATGCACCGGATGGGCCATCGAAATGGGAGGAGTTAGAAAGTGTGCCCTGCAAATATTGGCAAGCACGCCATGGTGTAGGTGACTGTAACCTATAGACGGCAAACAGTCTAAGAAGCGCAAATCAGCAGATAACCCGCACAATTCCAATTCCACCCCATCGTCTGTCAGTGATTCTGTCCATTTTGGTAGTCCGCAATGTTTGCTCCCCTCTGGGCATCACAGTGGCCAACTGACTAGAACAGAAGACAGCTCGTCACCCGACATATGGTTAGGTACAACTTGAACACCACGCCGTTGAATAAAGCCAAAACTGGGGTCGGATGCAAGCTCTTGGGTAGAAGGACATTGTCGATGAGAACTAATTAAAGAAACTGCGGACGGCATCCACGCCAATGACCTAGTGTACATGCCGAAATTATCAAAAACGGCTCGACGACAGCGATAGGTAACTAGGTTTATCCTCTTGGAAGACAAAAGGTTACTTTACCGTCAAATGGCTGATGCAAGTACTTCGGCTGCGTCCTCAACCGTCCATCCGCAATCCGTCAGGAAGCCACTTGAGCTTTCTCAAGCTGAGACACCAATGCTGACCCTGAACGCCCACCCTCCGTGCAGGAGGCCATCACAGCGGTTTAGAAGAAATCCGGTGAAAAATCGTCCAGTACCGACGCAACCCCAGCCGAAAAATAAACACGCGGAGATCCTCGACTAATAAACAAACTTGCCTCCCTGCTCCATGAGGCGTGGCAACAAGAAAAAATCCCGCAGTTTCTGGGATGAAACCATTGTCAATGACCACACACGCAAAGGAAGCCGCCAGGCCGAACAAATATTGGAGGCAAAGACGCATGAGTCGTTGAAGTCCTAACCCTGTCAACCGATATTCACAGTCCATCGTGGATTCGGCAGACATCGAATCCACCTCAATATCAATATGACCGACCAGCCCCCAATACCTCAAAGCACCACCACCAGTATTATGACCGGAAACACCCGGAAATGCAGACACAGTGCCAACTCGTCTCCACTTTCATCGCACATGCTAATAACTCATCCGTTTGGTTGATCACCTGCGAGTGCGCCACAGCACGAGCAAAGAGACTTCGCATTGAACTCTGGCGTACAGACTTGACGTACGCCCTCTCAGTCGACGCTTCACACGCACAATCGGCCACCGCAAGTGTTTGTCCGGCATATGCGCATGCACGAAGCTTCACTAGAGAAGCCCAGCCCTTTGGAGGTTCGACTATTGTAAGTGACGACGTCCACCGCGTGTTCCACGGAGGGCGCAGGAGCGGTGACTTGCGGATGAATTGGTCCAAAGCAAGGCAGGCTTGTGCAGCACTCACCGCACTTCCCCCCTCGCCCACCTTGCGCCGATGACAATTGTCAAGACGACCGGAGGTGCGCTCAAGCGGAGTAGCTGACAAGGCCAAGCAACCCGCCTACGCGTTCCACACACGACCCCCTCCTGAGAGCTTCTCTGGGAGTCAGATCTAACACCATCGACAGTGACATAAAGGCCACACGGAGAAGAGGGTCTTCACAAACTGGCTCTGTCTTCAGGACTCAGTTAGCCCGTCAGGTAACAGCCTCCCAGGCCACGACTCAATATATTTTTGTAGTGCCGAATGCGCTGTCATTGAGATAGATCCCCGTGTCGGCCTCACTCATGCGCCAGTCGACTGTCCGAGCCTATCAACCAGCTGGTGATGGGATTGGGCAGTGGCCGACGCGGCACGAAGACCTAAGTCCGTGGCGCGCCGCCAAGCCCCTCGCTGAGATACGGCAGTGGTTTCTAGCTGGCACGGACTCTGTGCTGCCTGGCCAACGCGTGCTATAGGCCAGTTTGATCCCATGTTGGTTCAGCCAGCTCACAGCGCAGCCCACACAACGAACCCCGACAGCACATGGATCCGGTAAGTGCGTACATACGTCAAAAATCATTTGCGCTCTCGCAGCGTCGTCATGAGGGACGCAAGGCCGTATAGACTGTGAATCTCCCACTTCTACGACCAACCGCAATTGGAGGCTTCCCGATCGGGCTGGCCACCGCGTTTAAGCGTACCACTACACACAAAGCTGACTGGTGGATCTTGTCTGAATCTAATTATGACTGGCGGCGTCATCAAGGCGGATGCAGGCGAACCCCGAGTCATTTCTGACCCAATGGACTAGGAGACTTAACTACAACCAACTCCGCTATAAAAAAAATGAAGACGGCGATGGGGACAAGACTAATTGGCTCGCCATATTGTCTGCAAGGTACTAGTTGGGCGAGTGCTCTATCGATTTTGTTGCTGTGTGAAGTATTTACAGTTCAGGTCACCAGCGAGTCCCCTAGCGTTTCCATGTGTTCCTCGGTATATACTTGTCGTTTATGTTTTCTTTAATTTCCTCAGAAACTAATGTGCGAAATCGACTAGACCGTTTGAAACGAGCCGCAGATCCGGTTGGTTACTCTGTTGGAACACACTGCTCCCAGCTCAGATATTCATAAACTTCCCAGTCGAGTCTAGGGGTTGTGTCAAGGGATTTGGTTAAAGTCCACATACCAGTTTCCGAGTTAAAAAGCCTTGCAGTAGCAGCAGCGTCCACATGGGATCCCGTGTCTGGACGTCCAGAGGGTGAGAGGGCGACTACTGTAGGCTGACAAGTGTAATTCGCAGAAACACGACCAACTTATATGAAGATTTAGGACACCACATGAGCCACCACCTGACTCCCGCGGCCAAATGCGACGCCATTCACCCCAAACAGTCCACAAGAGAAACCAACCACATGCCTGGTAGGGAGTCGTCTGATTTGGCCCTGATGGTACGCACAGCTCAGTGACCCTACTGTGCCCCCTGACTTACCTGTGAAACTGTTATCGTGCGACTTCTCAGACTGCAGACGGCAAGTGTTTGATAACTGAACCACGACAACCCGACGGCCCTCGAGGGATGTTGAGGCATCGAAGTTCCTGACGTTCACAGGCGCACTAATCGATTGTAAAAGATTACGTGCCGATAGACCGTGTAACGATTTCAGTTAACCAGCTCCAAGCTGTAAAAGGCTGACAAGTAAAAACAGGTCGATTCCAAACAGGCAGGTTAAATGGGACCGCCAGTCATGGCAGGGCTACACCCCCGCCAAACCATTAGGGGGTTAAGAGACAGGTATAACATGACATGCTCGAGCCTCGGCGCTTCTCAGTGCTCTCTTGAAGGATTTAGACTTGTAAAGCTGGGTAGGTGCGGAGCGACCAGCGCTACTGATAGACATAGAATCCCAAACGTAGCATATTGGACCGGAGTAAAAACGACAAAAAGTGGCTTGTAAGAACTTCAGAAAATGACCAGCTGGTGGTCTCATTTACCTCCGACATTTTAATAAACGAGAACTATAAGGTACATGCACACCGTAGTCGACCTTAATGCCAAATGGGAGAAAGTCTGAGAAGGGAAAAAGCGGAATGAAGACAGTCACCAAGGCCTATAGAACCTTGCTCTTACTTACAGTAAAATACAGGACGTTTAATTGGTTGCGAAGCAAAACAGTACCAAATTGCCCGGAAATGGAAAACGTTAAATGCAGGACGTTTAATTGATTGCGAAGCAAAATACAGTACAAAATCGCCCGGAAAATGGAAGAAACTATGAGGAAGCCGTCGGATAAAATGGAAGCAGCGAGTATCATTAATGGCGTGACCGCAATTGCAAAGTGTCAAAGGTAGTCGTTTAACGTTAGGTAACATGCAAATGAGCCTCCACGCATGCAATTCACGGGGCTGACTAGAGCAGGAGGGGATGGGCAGAAAATTCCCAGACCCGATGGACTGAAGAGTTTTTAGAAATCTATAGGGTATCGCAGGTTTTTCTCCCTTTTCGTTTGGTATACAACGCAGCGCGCGTGGCGGCCTCGAAAACCTCCCGCACACCCTCCTTCGTCTTGGCTGAGCATTCAAGGTAGGCGTAGGCATCTAAATGGTTTGTTAAAAAAGAACCGAATCACACAACGCAATAGTGCGAAAAAGTAACGTCTGTGTGCATGTCGGTTAAGTAGAGGGAAAATCCCGATATCCATATCGTAAGTTAGTTCACACGCCAAAGTCCACTTGGGGGGAGGGTGAAAAGAACAGCAAGATAATGCCCAAAGTGAATTAGAGAAAACGTGAGAGCATAAATTTACGCAAGTGTCGATGAATGGATGTAGTACATAAGTGTGGTAAACGTTGCGCCTGTGGAGAAACAGAAAGACGTTGTGCACAAAGGTTACCGTTTATTTATTTAAAAACCACAAAGACTGAAAGACTTACTTAGCTTTTCCACCATCAGCCGGCAAGCCTCAGGTTTTACGAGTTCTTGTCGCATTTTGGTGAGCTCATGAATAGCTCTGTCATCATTTCGTAGGTCCAGTTTGTTCCCTACCACAAGAATTGGCACGTTGGGGCAGAAATGCTTCACTTCGGGGTACCACTTCTCTGACAGATTTTCTAAACTGTCCATGCTATAAATAAAATAAAGACGTGGAATTGTTCGCGTGGTTGCCAAGAGCTAGAACGACGAGAACGTAGACATGGAACCTAATTTGGGCATATCTAGAAGGGCGAATTCGATGACGAACACATGGGAGACGTAAAACGCAGCTGAATGGTCAGAAGTCTACATTTGCCTGCTAAAAAGCATATTCGAACCAGCTTGGGAACATTCACAAGTAGCTGAGCATAACACCATCAAACCGATTGCCGGGTAGTTATGGCAATGCCTCGTGGATCAATGGTTGACGTCAACCTGAGACCGGTGGGAGACGTGGCAAATTTAGATCATAGGCGGCGCGAAGCATCAAGACGAAAGCTTGCTAATTCTAGGCAGAAAATATACTCACGCTCGTGGCGTCAGAACGCGAAAGAAAACTGCATAGGCCTACTCAGACACTCGGCGTGGCTGGTACAATGACAGTATTGTCAGACGACCGAAACGGCTACAACACGAGTTCTCGAAGGCGCCGTTTGCTCATAGAAAAGCAGCAGAGGGAAGCCATTTTTGCATTAAAATAGCTAAGTCTTGACACTCCCGAAGAGGGCATCTAGGCGATACGGACGCGGACGTGATAGACGCAGTTGCATGGCAATCCCAAAGTCAATAATATGAAAATGATTACGAGCAATCAATCGATCCACTTGAGAGAAGCAACGCTGTTTTGAGCGTAAGGGTTAGGCCAAACACACCTTTATCCCAGTTTTATGTGCTAAAACTTTGTGGACAGGCGCTAAATGAAAGATATCTTCTCTAGCCCCCCGGCCACATGGTTGTCGTGGAGAATATCATACTAGTTGGACAAATACGGGACGCAACATAGCAAGCCTAATGTATGGTTAGTGTTCGGAAGTATCAATAACAGGTGCTTAAGCCAATAAACCCAGTAGTGTGTAATTTGTCCTGCGGAAACGTTTAGAAGGCGCCCTACTATGAATCCGCAGTACAGAAACGGTATTGAGGGTTACGTCGAGTACCTCATGCAAACCGCACCAAACCATGCCGGTGGGCGTCGCAAAAGCACGAAAGTTCGGGGGGACGAATCATAGAAATCAACTTTTCTTTATAGTTAATAGAATGACGGACGGAAAGTGAAGACGAGGCTGCGAAATGTGGGCACTGATAAACACATTGACTGCGGCATAAGCAGCCCGCCCGGGATGGTCGCCTCTTTAAAGAGACATCATGCGCAAAATACGGTAATAAGTTCTTGACACGGAAGACGCTGGTAACGGGAATAGTGATGTTAGAATTTATAGACTCATGAATCAAAACAGAACGGCCAGGACCTGGGCCAACTCTCTTAAGGCGTAACGACTGCTCTAATCTTAACGTATCGTGGGGTAATAAAGCTAACCTGTCAATTGAGAAGCACATAAGTATGACGTCCGTGTCAGGATATGACAACGGCCGGAGACGGTCGTAATCCTCTTGACCTGCGGTATCCCAAAGCGCAAGCTCCACTTGCTTCCCATCAACCTCGATATCGGCAACATAATTCTCAAAAACGGTTGGGACATAGACCTCCGGGAACTGGTCCTTGCTGAAGACAATCAAGAGACACGTTTTTCCGCAGGCTCCATCGCCGACAATTACTAGTTTCTTCCTTATAGTAGTCATTTTGCGGAGGACGCGACGGTAGGCTAACCGAACTATCGTCGAAAGTCAAAGGAAACCATTGAAGTAAAACAAAACGGGCTGAATAAACAAAGAGATTTATGGCCGCGCTGCTTCCGTGTAAAATAATTCTAAATAAATTTAAAGTATATTTTTTGATTTAAAAAAATGGAGCAGATGCTTTCGTTTAATATATTTGCTATAGTTTTATAATTCATTACCGAGGGGATGTTGTCAAACCGGCGAACTGTATGTCAAAGTTTGGTGTAAGGCTTGGGCCTACCCTGAAACCTAGAGGATATTAGGGCCACTAATGTCGTCTCAAATGGTTTGTTTGACGTAACTTAAGGAATGAGCGGGGATTGTGGAGTATGGAAGGGTGATGCATGCGCTTAGTGGCCACGAGAAGGCAGGAGAAAACAGCTGACGAAAAATTCTTCACACATCTCAAAAGAAGAATAAGGCCTAGGCAGAACACAAAAACGGAGAAACAACTTCTCGTCTGTTTGAGATAAGTGGATCAGAATTAAACGCAATGAAGAGTGGCGAAACCGAAAGATGGCGTTAATTTAAACGATATCAACGAGGTGATAGCATTTTACGAGCGAACATGCAGCGACCGTGTTGATAATGAATTACTGCACGTCAAATATCATCTAATTCTCGATGGCATTTTAAGCGCAAAACTTACTTCGCTTTTATATCAATGGGTTTTGTAAGATTCACAACTGCCTGGCAGTTATTGGACGCTTTACTAAGCAGCAGGAATGTTCATCGCCCTCTGAAAAGATTCCTGGATCCAAATAATGTTTCCAGGATGGGCTATAAACGACTACGCTCTGCCGAAGTTAACTGACCTGTTTCTGAAACCAAACGAATTTCCCGTTACGACAAACGTTTTTGAGCACGATTCAAACTTTTTCGATTAACGTGTTTGCATCTGCATTTTTGCTCCTGAACATAGTCCTGATTGTTTAAAACGAACTATGTGTACTTTCAGTTGCAATGCTAGACGATGTGTACTGGATTTCAACGGAACCTTCGTTGTTCTTATCTTGGTTGGTAAATTCTAGTCCTCTTATGCAGTATTCGCTAACAGATGGAAAGCTTGATCTATTCAGCTGCTCCGATTTATTCCACTATTATAGAAAATGGCTTTTCGTGCCCCTGTCTAGAATAGAATAGGTTTATCATGGCACCAACTGGACACTAAAAATTTCCTTTTGACATATTATCAAGACTTCTGACCTTCACATTTAGTCTCTAACTCTACCTCTCCGGCACACATGTTGTCAACGTTCGTGGTAAATCAAGGCTCATTCTCAACGACCCCTCGTTAACCATAAGTTGGAAAATTTCTGCATTCATTTGGTAGATGTCATGAATTTGATCGCTAGAGTTCAACCATCCAGCCGTCTTTTCCGAAATTACACAACCAGTTTAGTAAATTCAATAGCAGCCAAGCACCAGTTCGTGGACAGGTATCGTGTTTTCTGTCAAGCAAACCATGTCGATTGTATTCCTCGCAAGACAAATGCCGGTGTTATTACGCGCTTGGACTTCCTTTAATAAATGAACAATTATAAATGGTACAAATTATTAGCTGCCTCCTTTTGGAAAAATGTACCATTTGTAAATATTCATCGTTTTTGCCCACTACAGAGGTGGCCAAACATCGATGGTATCCCGGTGCAGTTTTCGTCGTATAGGGCCATCTACTTAAGTTATCTGAGGAGACAGTCTTATAAAAACCAACGCCGTGAGAAACTAATGCATATTATTTTTGAGTGTTTTTTAGAAATCATATCCAAGTCATTTCCTCTGTTGTTACGGGGAGTGAGGTAATGTTGGTGTCGCATGAGCGAACTGTCTCCCAAGTATTTCAGTATATTTGGTAAGGATAATAGGCAAAGCTTTTCAAAACCCTATTGATTACATGTTAACTCGTTAGAAATAACTGTATACGAACAATAAAAATATTCGCCTTCAAATGGCATTCGATTCATTTAAGTAGTATCGTCTCAGAAAAAACATTTGCGGAGTCGTGGGATATTAGTTCAGGTTCAGACTGTCGAGGGAAAACAGAGGACACAAATAATCATCTAAGCGTTCCTTTCTACAGTCCTAACGAGAGGGCGATATGCAATCTCGTAGGCGGCCTAGGCTAACCCGAAGAAGCCTGGTAATTCTCTGTAAAATTCCGTGCTACCTTTCATACCAAATTAAAGTGTGAGCGTCGCATAAGGAGCCCTCTCTTTGTGTAAAAAACATTACGTCCTAATTCGCTACGTAATTTTTAATTATTTCTGTGCGTGCCTCTGGGGTGAAGGGATGTCCACTTCTGGGCTCCACCTGCAAATCGCAGTAGGTCGGATCATTTGTCTCGTGCAGGTTGTGACTCCCTCTAACGTGCAGTCACTAGCACCCAACTATTACTTGTGGCCCCCAGAAGCTAGGCTCTCTGTGGCGGCCACTGCTCAGTAACAACCACGACCGACCGGTTAGACCATGTGAGGGTATCCGGTGTTGTGTGTCCCTACACCCTATAACTCTGCTTCCTTCCTCTTCCCCTCACCCTCTTTCAACTTTCTACAGTCCTAAGGAAAGGGCGATATGCAATCTCGTAGGCGGCGTTGGCTAACTCGAATCGTTCTCCGTCAAACAAGGCCGGACCAATAGTAAAGTTCGGCTGCCCTCTGGAATGTCCAGGCAACCCTATTTATGCATGGCATTGCTTACGTTCTGCCCGGGAAGAGGCTAAAAAGATGCCTAAACACTCCGAAGGCTCAAAGGGGGAGTCGACTTCCACGTAAAATTAATCAAAATAATCTTATTTAATGCCAGTTTACATGCATAGTCAGGGAAGCGTCAAACACAAATCCGCACGGAAGTGAAAATATCCTGACAAAACCGAACAAAAAAATCGATAGTGGTATATATGGTTTGGAGGGATCAGTAGAAAAAAAGTGCTGCTCATGAAATGGCGACCGTCAAGAAAGGGAGGAGTAACACTGCATCGGATACGATCAGTCGCCATTTCTTTTGTGAAGTTGGGACTGGACCAAACAGAAGCACCGAAGAACAGCTGTCGCCGTTGGTGAGACCGGCCATAGAGATCAGAGACCAAAAACGCCATCGCTACGGTATACTCGATCGGTGAATTCAGCACCCAAAATATGTGAGAGATTTTCTGAATGCAAAAACGAGTTATAGTTCTCTTAAACAAAAAAAAATAGTTTTGCGTAATTTTCGCATTCCTGGGTAGTTTGATCCAAATAGCGATTGTGTTCACAGAAAAAGACCGACGACGTTTAACGGAACGCACCAGGGGAAGAAATAAAAAGACCTCACTGTGACTGTTACGCTGGGGCGGACAAGACGTTTTAAAGCAGTGAGCAGGTTAGAGGTACGATTATATAAAAGCTTTAATAGCAAAATGGTCCCTTTTGCAATCGACGAAACCACAAAGGATCAAGGCCCGTAAGCCGGTAACGTTCTTGGTAAGACAAATTCCGATGTTTTGAGGTGAAAACACTCTTCGTAAAAAATGCTGAACGGATTCTATTTTATTCCACTCAGCAGTGCGCATGAGGCTAAATAAAAACAAACAGTATTCCAGGCCAGGTCTAACGTACATTTTATAAAGGCACATTCTAATATCGCTGGTTTTGAAGATTCGTAGGATAAACCCGGTCGTTCTACGTGCTTTGGAGACTATCAGGGCGCAGTGCTCCGAAAGGTTAAGGTTCTTGGGGTATGGTACACCCAGATTCTTAATAACCCCAGGCACCTTTATCGTGTGACCGTCAGTACTTTGTTGAGGTTGATGGTTGTCGCCAACCATCATGACTGAGCATTTATGCCAAGAAAGAGAAAGGCACCATGTGCGGCACCACTGGGTAAAGAGATGAAGGTCGCTCTTTAGGAGCTCGAGCACGATGTCACGATCTGCCGGCTTATATCTATATGCAACTTTCAGACCATCGGCATACATGAAGGGTCTACCATTCTGAAGTAAAGCTGGTACGTCGTTAACAAAAAGGCAAAATAAAAGCTGGCCGAGTACACTACCCTAAATGACTCCACTCCTAACACGTGGGGGGTTAGAAAAAGCATCAGAAATCTTAGCACGTTGTGTGAGACCACACAGGTAAGAGGATATCAAATTCAAAAGTATGTCACCTATTCCGAAGGAGGACAGTCTCAAGAGAAGAGGAGCATGGTCAACACGGTCGAAAGCCTTAGTGAAGACGGAATAGACTGTGTAAAGTGGAAAACCATTGTCCCTAGATTGCAGTACATGGTCAAAGAAAAAGAGCTGACAGGTGTCACAAGATCGAGCTTTGAGTAATCCATGCTGAGCAACACTCAGAATGTTATTCTCTGTTAAGTGACACATCATCTTATCTTTGATCAATGTCTCTAGGATTTTCGAAATTGTGAAGAGGGTGTTTATTGGCCGAAAGTCATCAAATGGCGTAGATTGTCCATGCTTGGGAATGGGCCAAATGTGTGATTTCTTCCACACAGCAAAAAAGTTGCCCTTTCAAGAGCGAGATTAAATATGTTGCACAAGAGGACGGGAAGATCGCATTTGCATCCGCTTTTAGAATGCTGACTGAGACGCCATCAGGTCCTTTTTCAGTTCAGTTCAGTTTATTGAGGGAAATAGGCGTAATTATTTGAGTACCCTAGTTGCAACGTAAAAAATGTGTGGCATACAGATATGGAATGCCAGCATCTTCACCATGGATGAGGAAGAATATCGACTTACTCGAGCAGGTGCAATGCAGAGCGACAAAGATAGTCGACGGCCTAAAACATTTTTCTTGTCAAGAGAGGCTGAATTTGCTTGGCTTATTCCCCCTTTCTTATAGACACGTAAACTGCAGTCTACTTTAGACGTTCCGGATAGACCGCGGACAGGGTTGCTCCTTAAGAACAAAGGACTTCTTTGAGTTTTCTCGTGCAAACCAACTGCGCGGCCATACCGACAAAGTCGT